TTCTCAGCAGCGCTCGAGAGACCGTTCGTGTCCGAGCGCTCCAAGCAGTGGCGTGAGTGGGTCAAGCAGGCGGTGGCCAACGGAGGGGGCCAGGCCCACAAGTGCAGTCAGGTTCCGCTGGGCTGGGTGCCTGAGGTGCCCGCTGGTAGTAAGAAGTCCGATGCCCCCAGAGTTCCTATGGGCCCGCAGAAGCAGGTTGACGACTTGTACAGCTATTGGACTAGCCACTGGACCCCCCCTGAGGCGGGTCGGAGCTTTCCCGGCCCGATTGGGTACCTCACTAGCGAAATAGATAAGCAGGCTCAGGATCAAGATTGCAGGCTCGAGGACCTCGTGGGCTCCCCGAAGTCCCCCGAGCAAATCAGATTGGCAGCCAGGAAGCTCAAAATATATACTGTGCGCGGCATTGACATGCTCAGGCCCAGGGACCTCGACAAAGCCACCGACGGGATCCTCGAGTTCTTGGGGGAGCTCTGGTGATGGATGGAGTGTCTTGGGACTTACCCGGTCTTGATGCAGACCGCGGTCCTCGCGATTCTTAGCAATCCAGAATGCGGTTTTCGACCGGTAGGCTTGCTCCCAACCCCTGTCAGAGTTTTCTCGAAGCTTGATAGGCGTGAGATCCGTGCTTGGGAGGCCTCCGTGAACAGGCCCTACAGGTACGGAGTCTCGGGTGAGAGTTGCGAGAGAGCGGTCTGGGGGCAGAGCTTAGTGGTCGAACAGCATCTAAATGCGGGAGGATGCTCGTCAGCGTGCCTCGTGGATTTCACGAAGGCTTACGAGAAGGTGAACCGCTGCCTTCTCGCCCGCGCTGCCGACGAGCATCGATGTAACTTGATTCGGTTGCGTTTGAAGCTGCCCCTGTACCGCGGCAAGCGGATCATCAGCGTTCTTGGTGTGTGCGCGGAGGTGGCGGAGGTGAACCAGGGAATCTCAGCGGGATGCGGGGGGGCTAACTACTAGCTTGCCCAGCTGCCTGTTGTTGGAGCCTCTTGACATCGCGCGCGAGCACTTCTGCAGAGTTGCAGTCTACAACGTCGTCGATGCCATTGCCCTCCAGTCGTCAGGTCAATCGTCGCAGGTCGAGGTCAGGCTGTCGCGTGCTGTTTTTTACTTGTGTACGATGCTGGAGGGACTTTTGCTTGTGATATCGCAGTCCAAGGGCCTGGTGCTGAGCGCGCGTGCCAGTGCGAGGCAGGTGACCGTCAGTAAGCTTAGGAAGTGGAACTTCGAGGGGGCCCTCTCTGGAAGGAACTTGGGATGCGACCGAGCCATGGAGGCCAAGGGGCCCGAGAGTCCAAATTGCAGCAGGCTAGGCTGAGGCACCTGCAAGGGCGCAGGAGTAGAATCCGTGGTTTGAAGAGTTCCAGCAAGGGGATGATGAGGGTCGCTCGCTCTGGGGGCCTTGCGTCAGCTACCTATGGGGACTCGGGTCCACGGTATCGCTACAGCGAAACTCATGCAGTCAGGGGCGCTGTGGGGGCGGCTGTGTTCGGGGCCCCCAAGGGCAGGTGCAGGGTCCTGGAGTTTCTCCTCAGCGTGGAGCCCATGACGGACCCTTCATGCGACTCAAACATGCTTCCGCTCCTCACGTGGGGCCAGGCGGCGAGGAGCAAGTGGATGGAGCCCACGGTAATGCAGCAGAGTTTCCAGTTTTTTAGAGATGGGCAGGCCTTCGACTGGAGCCAGGTGCGAGGTCCTGCAGGTGCGGTCGTCTTGACCCTTAGAAGGATAGGCTTGGAACCGAGGGCTTGGAACCTGTTTGTGACCAGGTCTGGGTTGGAGATTGATATTACCTATTCGGGAGGCCGATCGTTCAAACTGATTTTGGAGAAGGCTGTTCGGGGGTACCTGATACTGAGCCTGGGGGGCGTTCGGATCGAGGGCCTCGACGATGGGCCGCTGCTTGAACCTGTGATCGAGGTGCTCAGGGGTTTGCGGGCGCAAGACAGGTGGCAGGCGGCAGCGGGTCTCGCGGGCGTGGTCGCAGGCGGGTGGCCGACCCAGGACAGGCTCCTTCCAGGACAGGGGGGTGGTGGACACCATGTGCATGCTGTGCATGAGCGACGTTGGTGCGCCTCTGTATATGTCCAGATGCCCCGCCCATTGGCCACGAATCCGAGATCTAGACGTTCAAGGGCTTCTGGGCGTGCCCGTGTTGCCGGGCACGGAGGTGCTCCACGCGAGGGCGCTATTCCCGAGCGCGGCGTGGACGTGGCCCACGCCGTGCCAGCAGGCAGGATTTCGACGGGACGTGGTCCAGCCCAAAAATGTAGTCGACAAGCGAGTGTGCATGCACGGGTCGGGATCTGATCAGGAGCGGCCTTCACTTGCCAGAACAGGGTGGGCAGTGGTCCTTGTCGCGGAGCGTGGACTTGTTGTCGGGGCTGCGTACGGCCCGCTGCCGCGCGTGGTCCAACTCGCAGGAGCAGGAGAGGTCCGCGCTGTCAGGATGGCGTTGAGTTTAGCGGGCCCACAGGGGCTTGAAATCGTCACAGACTGCAAGATGGCTGAAAATGATTGGGGGGTCGGACCAGAGCAGAACCTCAATGATATCGCTATTCAGAGATTTGGAAGGATATTTTCGTCATGTCAGAAGTCATCGGGCGTGAACTGATTTCAGTGAATAGGGTTAGGTCTCACCTCTCCCTCGGCCAGGCCCGTAGGCAATAGCGAGTGGGCGTGGAGAGGCAACGAGCGAGCTGGCGAGCTAGCCAAGCTTGGGGCCCTTTCGCATCCCACCAACCCACTAATTCAAGCTCAGCTCGTGCGCAGTAGTAGTCTTGCTAAGCAATCGGCCTCGGTGATAGCCGAAGTTTTGAGTGATTTGTCTGCCAGGGATTTTCCAGATGTTACCAGATATAAGGTGCCGCGCAGGCCCACCCCCATATTTTACAACTTATTCCCGAGCCCAACGGGCACTTAATTGAGAAGGCAGGTAAGCAGTACAGATGTGCGACCTGGGGCGAGAGAGGCCGCTCCAGGACGCATATTGCTTTCACGCCTTGCGGCGGTCCGCCGAGAGTTGCGAGGACGATTCAGAGTAGCTTCAGGCTCTGGCTGGGCGGGGGAAGGGTGGCCTGGTGCTCGTGTTGTGGCGCTTTCGGGTCCGCTCGGTCTCGGCTCCTGGGCCCCCCATGTGAGAAAAGGTCCTCGCAACTGTGCTGCCGCGCACAATCTTAGACTTCTCAGGAATGGGATCGACCCCAGCTCAGGAGCGAGCTTTGGGAGGTCATCCCCGTTGAAATGGTCGGCTCACGCGAGTTGGATGTCCGCCAACGCCTGACCCCATTCTTTGCCCTTGCCCTCTGTACTGTTTTTGGGCTGCCTTATCGCTCAGCGGTAACGGACGGCCACAGAGCCAATAGGAACCAATAGGAGGAGGAGGAGGAGGAGGAGGAAGAGGAGGAGGAGGAGGTGGAGGAGGAGGAGGAAGAGGAGGAAGATGAGGAGGAGGCGGAAAAGGAGGAGGATGAGGAGGAGGGAGCAGGAACAGGAAGTTGTAGGAGGGGAGGAGGAGGAGGAGGAGGAGGAGGAGGAGGAGGAGGAGGAGGAGGAGGAGGAGAGGAGGAGGAGGAGGAGGAGGAGGAGGAGGGGAGGAGGAGGAGGAGGAGGAGGAGGAGGAGGAGGAGGAGGAGGAGGAGGAGGAGGAGGAGGAGGCGGAGGAGGAGGAGGAGGAGGAAGGGGGAGGACGAGGAGGAGGAGGAGGGCAGGAGGAGGAGGAGGAGGAGGAGGAGGAGGAGGAGGAGGAGGAGGAGGAGGAGCGAACCACAAAATCCAAACACTTGAAGGAGCAGGAGGAGTAGGAACATCGGGTGTGCTCGCCGACGGTTGTGCCGGAGCAGCCGGGCGGCCAGATTCTGGGAGGTGCCCAGAATTCCCACGTGGCGATTTTCAAATGTCAGCGGGCTTTCCAGAGCTCCCAAGAAATCCAGTGCATCGAAAACATCGCGGCGGCCAGGTCTGTCGCCGCTTCTGCCGCGATTTCGGGGCTCGGGACCTTCCAAGGGCGGCTCGGGATGAAAAGCCAGCCGTGGTGACGAGGTCCAACGGGTCGGCGGTTCACTTGCCGAACAACTCGACGCGCCAAAGTGTCTGGGCTCTCGGCCGCCCCCGGGGGGGGGGGGTCCGCTCTTCGTCCCAGGTCGGTCGCCCTTTGGCGGCTCCGGCTGCACGTGAGAGTGACCCTTCGCCGAGGTGACCTCGGGCGCGCGGGTTCCAGGGGGCGCGGGGGCCACACCCGAGCGCGCAGGACGGTAGCTGCTGTCCTTCCGCGCGCAGCCACCGCCACGCCGCGGGCCGAGGGTTTCACCCCTCCCCGGGCTCGTCGCTCTTGCGTGCAGCCGGCGGCCGCGGGGCCGGAGGCTCGCCTCCACGGGCCCAGGCCTGGGCGGAGCTGGCCGTCGTGGCCTTCTCCAGGCGCCGGGGTGTGGAGCTCCGTGCCCTCCCCAGTATCGTTGGACGGATCCCTCAGGCCAGCCACAACTGGGGGAGCTGTGGTCCTTACCCCCCTGGGGGGCCCATCGATTTCGACACCCCTCTCGAGAGATCGTCGATGCGATGGGTTCCCCCAGGGGGGTAAGGACCACAGCTCCCCCAGTTATGGCTGGTCGGTCCCTATACCCATCCCCATCGCCATCCCGATCCCCACCATCCCACCACCCCAGTCGGGGACATGTTCCTCGAAGCCCGAGGGGAACAGCCCATGTCCCCATCTGGGGGGGGGATAAGTCGGCCAGTGGGGCCCAGGCCGCGCTGGTGGGGATTGGGATAGGGATCGGTTGAACGATGCTCACCTCCGATGAGGCGGAGGAGGAGGAGGAGGGGGAGGAGGAGGAGGAGGAGGAGGAGAGGAGGAGGAGGAGGAGGAGGAGGAGGAGGAGGAGGAGGAGGAGGAGTAGGAGGAGGAGGAGGAGGAGTAGTAGGAGGAGGAGGAGGAGGAGGAGGAGGAGGAGGAGGAGCCCCGGGCCTCTGGCGACCCTGGCCGTGGCTCTTGGCAGGAGCGGGCTGCTTCGGCACTTCGAGCTCCTGCCGGCTCCCCAGGCGCCCGCCGAGAGGCGGTCCTGGAAGGCGCACGACAACGTCATCGCTGACCTCTGCTTCGACGCAGCTGGAGCGTTCGTGGCCACCGGCTCGGTGGACAAGACCGCCAAGGTCGGGAGGCCTATTGTGCACCCGCCAGCGCGTTTCACTGCTCGCAAAGCGCCTACTCGCAGACGTTCAAACACACACGTGTGCGTCGATGTCATGGATCGTAGCGCCCCCGCGGCTGGTTCAGGCCATCTGCGAGTAGGGACTCTGGGAGTAGTGGGACGCGCTTGTCTAAGCCCTTTCTTTCTTCTGTCTTCGTCGCGCTTTTCCCCGTGGCGGGCGAGGGGGATGGAGGGGGAGGGGGTGAGTCAAATGGGTGGGGTGGCGCCGGTCTCCCGAAGGTGTGGGATTTTACCGGGTACTTCTGTACGCACAATTTCAGAGGACACCCTGCGATGGTCAGCATCGTGAGATTTCACCCTACGAGGCTGCAGCTTGTTACAGTTGCGGACACAGAGGTGCGTTTGTGGGACCTCAAGACTTCGACATGCGTTGGAGTTATGAAGGACCACCTGACTTCCATCTCTTCCCTGTGCTTCGCCAGGCTGGCAGAGAAGAGTTATCAATTGGTGACGGGGGGGCGTGACCAGATCGTGAACGTGTGGCAGCTAGAGCAGAAGCCTTCCCTCGTGAAGACCATCCCAGTCTTTGAGAATGTCGAGGGCGTGGCTGCTGTGCCACTCAAGGTCCTTCAGAATGTTCCCACTGAGGGGGCCAGCGACCAAGGCGCATTCTCGCAGTGGTTGCAGCGCGGTGCCAAGCTGCCTCCCTTTGTCGTGGTCACCGTCGGTGACAAGGGTCTGCTGAGAGTGTGGAGCCCAGCCGACGGGACTCGCGTGGCGTCCCACGCCTCCCCACACGCAGCCAAGGGCGCCTTCCGCCAAGTCCACCTCCTGGATGGCATTGCTGGCAGGCGCCTTCTGACCGTCGGCGACGACCTGAATCTGGTTGTGTGGACGTTGCCGGAGCTGGTGCCATCGACTTATATCATGGGGCAGAACGAGGAAAGGCGGGGAGCCCAGGGGGGAAATCAGAGGGGCGGGCCTTCTCAGAAGGCTCGGAGGCCCTCCGGCCTTCGAGCAGTTTTCTACGCCTTCCCCGAAGACGCAGAACATACCCAGGAGGGCGCGATGGCTTCCGAGAGGCCTCGCCGCCTCTCGCCTCTCCCCCCGGGGCGCGCCGCCGAGAGGAAATCGTCCACGTTCAGTTCATTCCATCGCTCTCCTGGCCCGAGGCCACCGAGGACGCCCCCGCGCCAGCCGCGGTGGGCACGGACCGGTTCGTGTGCATCACCAACGACGAGTTCCCGCGGGTGGTGCGCTCGCGGGGCTTCGGCGCAACGATGCTGCGCGGTCACTCGGACGTTGTGATATCCTGCGATGTCTCCGCTGACGGGCGCTGGATCGCGACAGGAGGCAAGGACCAGTCCATTCGCGTGTGGAGCGCCAGTCAGTGTCGTCCGGTGTGCGTCCTGGCTGGACACGCGGGCTCGGTGTCGGCGCTGTCGTTCCCGAAGAAGAGGCCCAAGGGCCCCGCGTCGGCGGGGAGCGGGCCACTGTGGCTGGTCAGTGGTAGTCAGGACAAGACTATGAAGATTTGGAAGCTCCCAAGCGAGGCGCAGTTGGAGGAGAGACTTGGCAAGGGAGACGAGGAGCTCTCCATTTCCAAGGCCAAGGTCACCGTTGTCGCCCACGCCAAGGAGGTGAATGATGTGACCGTTGCTCCAAATAACAAGCTTTTGGCATCTGGAGGTCATGACAAGATCGTGCGGGTGTGGAAGTTTCCAGAGGGTAGTCTAATGGGAGAGTGTAAAGGTCACAGGCGCGGTGTTTGGTGTGTCGCCTTCTCTCCGACCGACCAGGTTATTGCTTCGGCTTCTGGGGACAGCACTGTTCGGCTGTGGAACCTGAAAGACTATACCACGATCCGGGCCTTCCAGGGCCACGAGAGCGCTGTGCTGCGGGTCTGCTTCCTTGGCAATGGAGTGCAGCTGATGACGAGCAGTGTGGATGGGCTGCTGAAGTTGTGGCACATCCGCACCGCAGACTGTGCTGCAACGTTCGAGGAGCACACAGGGAAGGTGTGGTGCATCGACGTCATCGGTGATCGGATGGTCTCTGGTGGTGCCGACGCAAAGATGTGCGTCTGGCGTGACACCACCATCGAGAAGGCGAAGGCCGCGAACGACGCCCGTGCTGAGGTGGCCCTCAAGGACTCCCGAATAGGGCTCCTTGTCCGCGATGGCAAGCTTGAGAAGGCGATGACCCTTGCCCTTGACCTGAACCGCCCAGGTCAATTGAAGCAGATCATCTCCGAGCACACGATGGACGCGGTCAGCAAAATCGTTGCCAAGGCCGAGGCGCCTCCCGACGGAGAGAAGGAGGATGCGGCCCCAGAGGTCGAGGCAGGTGACTGCGACGGCGCTGATGGCCCGCAGGGCGCTGGCAGCGTCGGTGCTGTCAGCGACCTTGACCTTCGAAGATGGATCGTGTCGCTGAGCGACACTCAGCTGGAGAGGCTGGTTGGGATTTTGGACTCCTGGATCTCCAACCGAAAGATGGCCTCGCTCGCGCAGATGCTGATGGGCGTGCTGCTTCTGTCGGTGCCGCCAGCGAGGCTGAAGGGGCTGGAGGGCATGAACGCCACCTGCGGCTCCGTCCTGAGCTACTCGAGCCGGCACATGACGCGGGTGGAGTCCCTGCTCCAGAAGACGTTCGTGCTGGAGCTCGTGATGCAGTCTGGGAGCCACGGCCTGGTGCAGGAAGGGGTCCAGCGCGGGGCCGCGGCGGGGGAGGCCCAGGGCGGCGGCGCCGGCGGGGCCGAGGAGGCGCTGCGGCGCACGATGGACGTGCTGCTCGGCGGCGCTGGCGAGGCCGCCGATCCTCGCCCAGCGCCTTCCCCGCCCTCGCCCTCGCCTCCCTCGCCTCCTGGGTGCTCCGCCTCCCCTCCCCTCGCCTCCCTCGCCTCCCTCGCCTCCTCGCCGCCGTCGCTTCCCTCGCCTCCTCGCCTCCCTCGCCTCCCTCGCCGACCCTCGCCCTCGCCTCCCTCGCCACCAGGCCGCGCCGAGTCGCAATCCGCAGAGCCGCCAGGCGCCTTCGTCTTCTCTTGCCCAGGGCCCCCCTCTGTCTGGCGGCCGGCCTGTCGGCGGGGGTTCCCTGCTCGGGCGGCCGCTGAGTGCAGTTGAAGCCTAGCACAGTTGGAGTCGAGGGGCTCCATCCAGCGGGCCTCCAGCTGGACTCACAGCCTCCTCCCGGGTGACGCTAAGTCCAGTTGCAGCAGGTCCTGTTTGAACCCAGGCGCTCCATCTGGTGGGCCTCCAGCTGGACTTCGCCTCTCCCGGCCCCGTCCAGCGACGGACGGTCCTCCGTTGTTTTCTTGCTGCCGCTGTGCTTCTGCTCCTGCGCCGCAGGGCGAGGACGCCGACACTGGGTCCGAGGAGGCGTCGGACGCGGGCGACGGAGACGACGGCGGGTTGTTGGCGGAGTCGCCTCCGGCGGCCGCCGGCGGGGACGAGGACGAGGACGAGGACGAGGCAGAGCAGGACTGGGTGTTGCCAGATGTGCTCCCTGGCCCGAGGCGTCCCCAGGGTCCCCGGGGAGGCCCAGAGGGCCTCCAGAGCACCCCTCGCGAGGCCCAGGGGGCTCCAGGGGCTCGAAATTGGCGCGGCAAGCTGGAGCCACCTTGGGCCACGGGCATCTTTTTTGTGTCAGGGGCAGCGTTCGCGGGGGACAGGCTCAGGGGGGGACGCATCGAACCTGACTCGCCCATGGATTGCCGACAGGAGCCCGAAGGTCCATCCGCCCAGGAGCGTTCGGTTTCGCTACTTGGGGCCTGTCGCCGATCTATCGCTGACGTATCTCAGGAGGCGAAAAAACACACAGACACACTTAATCGTCGATTCCCAGGAAGATATGGGAAAATATGGGAAGTGGGGGGGAAGAGAAAAACCCAGAAAAATATGGGGAAACATGGGGGATCCTGGTATTTGTGTGTATTTCCCTACCTAGGCTCTGCCTAGAAGGGTTCTTACTCGTTTGACTTAAAGGGCCGGGCAGTGGAACGCGCCCCAGGCGGTTCCCCCAGTCCCCTGGGAGCGGTTCCCCCAGTCCCCTGGGAGCTTAGGTTTAGCTAGCTTTAGCTTTAGCTTTAGCTTAACTTTAGCTTAGCTTCAGCTTAGCTTTAGCTTTAGCTTTAGCTTAGCTTAGCTTTAGCTTAGCTATATCTTAGCTTTAGCTTAGCTTTATCTTAGCTTTAGCTTAGCTTTAGCTTAGCTTTAGCTTAGCTTTAGCTTAGCTTTAGCTTAGTTTTAGCTTAGAATTACCTTAGCTTTAGCTTAGCTTTAGCTTAACTTTAGCTTAGATTTGCCTTAGCTTTAGCTTAGCTTTAGCTTAGCTTTAGCTTAGCTTAAGCTTAGCTTTAGCTTAGCTTTAGCTTAGCTTTAGCTTAGCTTTAGCTTAGCTTTAGCTTAGCTTTAGCTTAGCTTTAGCTTAGCTTTAGCTTAGCTTTAGCTTAGCTTTAGCTTTAGCTTTAGCTTAGCCTTGGCTTAGCCTTAGCTTAGCTTTACCTTAGCTTTAGTTTAGCTTTAGCTCATTTTTAGCTTAGCTTTAGCTTAGCTTTACTGTTACTACTAATGCTGCTTTCCTAGGGGCTCCAACTCCTAGGTAGGGTGCACTGGGATGATTGTTTGTGTGTCCCAGGGCCCCTTCAGTATCGCCGATTCCAGCTCGATGTTTTTTTCCCTCGAGCCGGTCCCCCGTGGCGTTCCCCTCATTGTGGATGGCGGCGCCCACAGGGGCGTGGCGCGAGTGGGGTGGCCTTCTAAGGGCCTATCGAAGGGCCTGGTGGCTTTTCAGAAGCCTTCTAAAAAGCCCACGGGGCCTTCATGAAGGGCCCCTGCCTTCTGAGAGGTAAGGCACCCCCCTCGAGCCATCCCCTGGTGGGCGCCGCCACTCTGGCGACCCCCCGACAGGAGGACGGCGAGGCGTCTGTTGGCGGACCCACAGCGCGGAAGCGCAGGAGGCTGCGCAGCTGAGCGGGGGGCCTCCCTTCCTCTCCGCGCCGCGTCGGCGTCTCGCCTGCTCTGAAGGCTGCGGCATGGACAAA